AATCTTAAGTATTTTCACTTTCACCACCCACGAATCGCAATAAATAAAACGTTTTTATAATTTTTGGTTTTATTTTGATTGCCACTGTTTGTTTTGATGTTGTTGGTATTGTTTTTTATTTTTGTCCATGCTTTTCGTTGCTTTATAATTGTTTTTACACATTTATTGAGGTTAAGGCCTTCTTGACTGGCCATCACCTTATGTTTTTATTTTTATACCCTTGCAGAGGGTATTATAATTTCAGTCAAAAGTTTGCAACGCAGTGAAGGAGACATTTCCGACCCTATAAAGTATATATATTCTTGATCAGCATCACCAGGAGAGTCGATCTAGCCATGTCCGTCTGTCCGTCTGTCCGTCCGTCTGTCCGTCCGTCTGTCCGTCTGTCCGTCTGTCCGTCTGTCCGTCTGTCCGTCTGTCCGTCTGTCCGTCCGTTTCTACGCAAACTAGTCCCTCAGTTTTAAAGCTATCTGCTTGAAACTTTCGCAAAACTTGTCTTTCTATTGCAGGTAGTATATAAGTCGGAACGAGCCGGATCGGGCGACTATATCATATAGCTGCCATATAACTGAACGATCGGAAAAGCCATAACTTTGGTGTTTTTAAAGATAAGAAGTTGGGACTCTCTATGGGTATTATATTTGGCCAATCAATCCGACGTACCAAATTTCATAAGGATCTGCCGACTATATCCTATAGCTGCCATATAACTGATTGATCGGAAATGCCATAACTTTGGTGTTTGTAAAGTTAGAAAGTTGGGATTTTCTATGGGTTTTATATTTGGCCAATCAATCCGACCTACCAAATTTCATAAGGATCGGCCGACTATATCCTATAGCTGCCATATAACTGAACGATTGGAAATGCCATAATTTTGGTGTTTGTAAAGTTAGAAAGTTAAGATTTTCTACAGGTTTTATATTTGGCCAATCAATCCGACCTACCAAATTTCATAAGGATCGGCCGACTATATCTTATAGCTGCCATATAACTGAACGATTGAAAATGCCATAACTTTGGTGTTTTTAAAGTTAGGAAGTTTGGATTTTTTATGAGTATTAAGAATTTTTTTTGTTCTTCAGGATTTGTTAATATTTAAATACTATGGAATTACGGTTTTCATTTTATTAAAATCGGATGACAGTATCATATAGCTCCCATAGGAACAATCGGAACAATTATATGAAATAAATGAGAAAAAAATTATTACTTCGATGTTTAATAATTTAAATAAATATACTTCAAGATATAGTAAATCTTGAATATTTTAGATTTACGTTTTAATTTTTATTGAAATCGGACAATAATATCATATAGCTTTCATAGAAATGACCGAAAACTTGAGAGTAAAATCGACCTAGCTTCATTGTTATATCAGGCGATTCGAATACATCTTCCGTCAGTTCGTAACTATAACTTTGTCGTTTCCTAAAATATTTCCATATACTCCAAGATATAGTAAATTTTAGCAATCTCAGAATAATAGTTTTAATTTTATAAAAATTTTAAGACTATATCATATAGATGTCTTAGAATGATCATTAAATAACAGGCAAATCAACACAGCTTAAGCGTTTTGAAACATTTACTGACATTTTTGGAGAAATCATATGTTTTAAGATTGTATACAAATCATATAGATCTTGCAAATAAGATTGGCATACTGACATAATCTTTTCCTTTCAACATATTCCCAGATTTCAGATTCAGTTATTATTATTTTTTATACCCTTGCAGAGGGTATTATAATTTCAGTCAAAAGTTTGCAACGCAGTGAAGGAGACATTTCCGACCCTATAAAGTATATATATTCTTGATCAGGATCACCTCCTGAGTTGATATAGCCATGTCCGTCTGTCCGTCTGTCCGTCCGTCTGTCCGTCCGTCTGTCCGTCTGTCCGTCTGTCCGTCTGTCCGTCTGTCCGTCCGTTTCTACGCAAACTAGTCCCTCAGTTTTAAAGCTATCTGCTTGAAACTTTCCCAAAAGTTGTCTTTCTATTGCAGGTAGTATATAAGTCGGAACGAGCCGGATCGGGCCACTATATCATATAGCTGCCATATAACTGAACGATCGGAAATGCCATAACTTTGGTGTTTTTTAAGTTTGGAAGTTGGGATTTTCTATGGGTCTTATTTTTGGCTAATCAATCCGACCTACCAAATTTCATAAGGATCGGACGACTATATCCTATAGCCGCCATATAACTGATTGATCGGAAATGCAATAGCTTTGGTGTTTGTAAAGTAAGGAAATTGGGATTTTCTATGGGTTTTATTTTTGGCCAATCAATCCGACCTACCAAATTTCATAAGGATCGGCCGACTATATCTTATAGCTGCCATATAACTGAACGATTGGAAATGACATAACTTTGGTGTTTTTAAAGTTGGGAAGTTGGGACTTTTTATGAGTATTAAGAATGCATCATATGAATAATTTTGGAGAATATAATTTATAGAATATTCTGCAAGGGTATATCAACTTCGGCTCCGCCCGAAGTTAGCTTTCCTTTCTTGTTTAATTTATGGTTTTTATTGCTGCTTCTCGCAGATTTAAATATATATACTTTTCTTTGTTATTTATTATATATTTTCGTTTCTTTAACTTGCCTTGTGTTTTATTTTGAAAACGTACAAAAAAAGGTAACAAAACCGATTTCTCTTTTTTTGCTCTGATGAGGGCGTAAACATTGCCAAAAGAAAACAAAATAAAATACCTAAAAATATGAATTTCTGCGGGCCATTTTGCATTAGCAGCTAACGGTAAATAAAAAAATTTGTTATGAACGCTGACAGGTAGCATAACACTCTCTCTTTCTCTCTTCAAAGAAAATTGTTGCATTTAATGTATGTACATATGTATGTACGTTCATACCCACTAGCTAGTTTCGTATTCTCAATATATGTAATTTGAATACGATTTTAAATTCAATTTATTATGTATCAAATTTGAGTTAGTAATAAATTTGTATTAATTTTTTGTAATTAATGTTTAAAGATAAATATTTATATCAATTTTTAAAAATCCCATCTTTATATTAACTTTATATACATATTTAAACTGCAGATTTTGTTTCGTAATTTTTCGTTTCTTTCTTTAGATGCTCATCTACATATTTTGTTCATTTTTTTATATATTTCGCATTGACTTTATTTATTGCAGTGTGTGCATATTTTTCCATTTAGAATTTGCCCATTAAACCAGCAGAATCGCTCTTTATTTGTTTTTGTTCTTGAAGAAGAAATTTGCTCTTGCTCGTGATTTTTTCCCCTCATTTCGCATTGCAGGCGTCGCAGTCTTCGCCTTTCGCGTTTATAGAATTTTCAAGGTCACCCGCGAATGCGAATTATTTGTTTTGCACTGTTTTTGTTTTTTTTTTGTTTGTGAGAGTGTGTGAATTTTTTTTCTGACAACATACGAAACAAATGGGGGTTTTAAAGGGGGAGGGAGATGGGTAATAAAGTTGAGCGACCCTCCTTAGCAACACGTGGGGTGTGCCATCTCTTTCTAGTTATCTAGCTGCCTCTCTCTTCAATTGTTTGCACCTGTTTGCAGTAGGTATTTCAATGGTAACAAATGCAAAAATGATATAATTCTTAGGCTTAGAGTTATTAAATATATTATACCATCCATTAAAGACATATGTTTAGAAATGCACACAAACGTTTAATTTAATGTGTTTTTTATTTGAATAAATCGAAGCTAGATTAATTTCTTAAAAGTTGAAAAATGATTGATAATAATGATAAAATGTAATATTTAAATATAATTTTACAAGGAAAATGAATATTGAGGGCAGCAAAAACAGACAGCTAAAAGAATCTCCATTTTACACTGACTATTTTTATTTTAAGACGTGTTGCACATATGCAATCTGCACTGTAATTGCAAGGTTTTCTCCCACTTTATCTTGCTATTCTCATTCATCTTCCTCTTCTTTGTTTTGCACTTTATTTTGCCAACGTGAGCCAAGTCGCGTTGACTAAATCGAAAAAAAAATAATGAGCGGAACACAAACAAGCAAAAACAATTTTATTTATCATTTCAGTTTTTTTATTGCATACAATTGAAAACAGCTAAAAAAAAAAACCAGACAAGAGCGAAAAAAGGACAGAACTGATTCGATAACTAGAAATTGAATATGGAAAATACGTAAAATAAAATCCTTTAAGATGTTTTCACGTTAGCTTTTAACCCCAAACATTTCAAAGCGTTGCAATATTTTGAATATTTAACGTTCATATTTAAATAACAATTATGGTTAAATAAATTCCAAAACTCGACATTTCGGGGTAAGACAGTAACTTGTAAAATTGCAACCGAAGATCTCTTTGTCGTCATTTATTTAAATATGTAAATAAGTATTCATATTTTAGTTACATAATTAATTTTCTCCCCTTTTGATTGGTTAATTTTTGATAATGACTCATGAAACTGCAGTGGTCTTATTCTTCCAGCTGTTGATTAGTATAGGTTCAAGCTTTTGACCTTGAAAAAGTTTAATAACATTTCATGTTTTTTTTTTGGCGTTTTTCTTTGCTTGCTTTTTCTATGCGATTATTTGGCTGTATGCAATTTTGTTGTTGCTTGTTTTTTTTGCCACCCCCTCAACGCCACCTTCTCTCGTTCCGTCGCCTTCACGCTGACGCAAATTGAAAAAGAGATAGCGATACAGGTACAGTGGAGCTTCAATAATTCACCAACAAACACATTTAGAATTATTTTTTTCACTATAAAACCTTTTTTTATTGACCTTTGGATTCCAAATTTAATAACACCAAATTAGTAATTGATATTACTATTATTAATCACTTATCCATCGTTAATAACAAATTATTAGGTATTATTAGGTTTTAATAAGGCATTTGGAGAATATGATTAACAGAATATTCTGCAAGGGTATATCAACTTCGGCTCTGCCCGAAGTTAGCTTTCCTTGCACACTTTTGACCAAAATTATAATACCCTCTGCAAGGGTATTAAAATGGATTCCCATTGCAATAGGTGCATTCTTCAACACTGGTCAAAGACGAACTGTTCTCGGTCTCTGCTTTTGGCCTGATTTCCTTTGAAACGCAGTCTAAATAGGAGGAAAAGCTGGACCCAACTAACTGGACAGGAAGTAAACGCAAAGCAAAGGAAAATGCCGGACAATGAGGCAATGACACTTCCCGGAGAAGGTTGCCAATCATCCTACGTCAGTTTAGATGAGCTGCAGGCGGCGGGAAGAATAGCTGGATCCAGCGGACCATCGGGCAAAAGGGGGTGAGTATGGAATAGGAAAATAATAGGAAAATCCTCCACTAACCTCCACGTTCTAACTCCTCCCCAGCAAGGAGAAAAAAGGCAAGCCCAGTGGCCAGTTAGTGCACTTAAAGCTGAACAACAAGACCCATTTGCCTCTCAAGGTCACGGCCATTCCGCCTGAAGCAGCTCCTTGGGACACCTTCTCCCCAGTGGCCGGGCGTACACGCAGAGCCGCAGTGAAACCCAAATTTGTGGAGAACAGGGTCACCACTCAGGCCATTCCTGAAGCAGCCGATGGTAAGAAACCGAGGACGGCTCCTTGGGATACCTTCTCCCCGGTGGCCGGTCGTACTCGCAGAGCCGCAGTGAAACCCAAATTTGTGGAGAACAGGGTCACCACTCAGGCCATTCCTGAAGCAGGCGATGGTAAGAAACCGAGGACGGCTCCTTGGGATACCTTCTCCCCGGTGGCCGGTCGTACACGCAGAGCCGCAGTGAAACCCAAAACTGTGGAGAAACCGCAGCCAATTGAATCACCCGCTTTACCCAAACTGGTGGGGTCCAAGCTAAAACAGCTGAATGTTAAGCAGAGTGATATGGAGAACGCTATCCCGGGGAAGAAAAGTTCGCAGGAAAGCGGAGCAACCAGGAAACTCGATTGCGCAGCAAGTTTGATGGCTAGTTGGAGCACCAATGAGGCAGACCGCTTGCGGAAAAAGTTTGGTTGGATATAACCATAGCTTCTCATTTGGGGCGTCAAACCAAATGCGGCATTGCGGAGGATGACATTGTATTTGTATACTTTTTTCGTTTGCTTTGATTTTTATTTCCTTTTTGGTATTTCAAACTTTTTTTGACTCCGATAAATAATGTACTTTTTTAATATTTTGAATTGGTTTATTAATCAACAAGTGCAGTTTGGCAGATGGCGCCACCTAAAATTGTCGAGGAGCGCCATCAGCTGGAACCATTTTTATTTATTGGTTAGCTGAGTAACGGGTATCTTATAGCCGGGACACTCGCCTATAGCGTTTCTCTTTGTTTTTGTGCAGAATTCTTTTGATAAATATTGTTTTCTTTTTTGTTGTTTTTCTGCTCCCCTTTTTTGTAGCCTTTTTCGTTTGTTTACTCCTCAGCAAGATTAGACAAAAATTAACGATAAAGGTATGTTGAACTTTTAGCAAAGGTACATTCAATAAATTATATTTATTTTGGTTTTTAGCTAGCCGTGAATATGTTTGTTGTGTGTGTGTGTGCAAGTTATTTTTATGAGCTCTTTTATATTGTTTTTGAGACGCTTTCAAAACAAACAAAATCGCTCTCTCTTTTTTTTTGCTGTCTTTCTCTTTTTTACTCTCAGAATTTTTGCACGTGTATGCAGCGATTTCTTCTTCTTCTTAACACGTAAGCTTAAGCGAAAGAGAGGGAAAATACATAAATCGACATGAGTGCGAGTGAGAGCGGCATAAAAAATATAAAAACAACACCGCGATTTGGCACTGACGTCAACTAAAACCAAACAAAACGTATGGCTAGCTTCAAAAACTATTTCATTTAATATTTAGAAAATCTTTTTATAGTGTCGCTTACCTTAGTTTTTCTTTTAGTTTTTGTATTTAAAAAAAATAGAGAGTAAATAGTAGAAAATTCTTGTACCGATTTGTTGTTGTTTTCGCTGTTTTGGTTTTTTTCTGCCCGGTTCTTATTCGCCACTCACATTGCAACGCATTCATTGTTGGCATTTTTTCCTCTAGTATTTAAATACTAGATAAATTCCACTTGGAGATGGCCAAACTTCTGAGCGCCAAAGTTATTATCATTGGCCATGTTCAGCAGAACAACATGATCACTGATCACCGATTGATCAGTAATCAGTGATCAAAATTGCGTACTATTTCTATGCTTCTGTTTTTCTGATCATGATGCAAGAATTTTCACACAACTATCGTTCGAACCCATCAGTAATCATTTTGTCCTGCTGAAGACCATTATTACTAATGTACATTTTGTTGAAAATGTTCCTTACTGTTATATAATTCCTTAAATTAAAAAAACGTTAACTAATTTATTTAATTTAAAGCATCATTTAAATTTTTCCCTACCCTTAGTATGGTTTTATTTGGCACTTTGTGAATAAGTGTGCACTTTTCCCTTGAATTTTTATTATTTTTAATATGTTTACTTCATACCAGACGGGGCCTGAAAATAAATTTATTTCCGTACTGCGATAGCTTGCATAACTATCGCTCATCCCTAACAAACCGGCCGGCACGGAGTCTGGTTACACTGCTCCCATATCTGACAAATTGGATTTTTCGAGCGGAAAAACTGGAAAACTTAAGCATTTAACCATTTTGCGAGCAATCCATCGGATTTACCGCTTACCGGCACATTGTTGTGGAGCAAGTGCATCGCTGACCAACCGACTGGGCGATAGGATTTGGTATAAATCCGCCAAAATGTCGCAGTCACCGGATGGCGGGATTTCCAAAATGGAAACGGAGGAGGAGCCGGAAAATCCGGCAGACCCCCAGCAGGAATCCTGGCGTGGAATGCCCATGGAGGTCATACATCGTCATCTCCAGCCTTTTGAATTGGAACACTTGCCATCCGTGATCGCTGGGAATCTTCACCGGGTGTTGTACCAACTGCCCATCCGGGAATCTCCGCCACGCCCACATAAATCACCGGGGAAGTGGGATTCGGAACATGTGCGTCTGCCATGTTCGCCGGAGTCGAAATATCCCCGAGAAAACCCGGATGGCACCACCACCATCGATTCCAGATGGGGAATGATAGAGAGAGCCCTCCTCCAACCCATAGAGACCAGTGAGGAGCTCCAAAATGCGATTCTATCCTACAATACTACCTATCGGGATCAATGGCACTTCAGAGCGCTTCATCAACTGTTTGACGAAGAGCTGGACGAGAGCGAATCGAGGGTTTTCTTCGAGGATCTATTGCCCCGGATCATTCGGCTGGCATTGCGACTACCGGATTTGATTCAATCCCCGGTTCCGCTGCTCAAGCAGCACAAGAATGCCTCGTTGACGCTGAGTCAGCAGCAGATTGCCTGTCTCTTGGCCAACGCCTTTCTGTGCACCTTTCCTCGCAGGAACACCCTGAAAAGAAAGTCCGAGTACAGCAGTTTCCCGGACATCAACTTTAACCGGTAAGCAATCAATCAATCCCTAAATGCAGGCAATTTAATTCCACTCACATCTCTTCGCAGCCTTTACCAATCTACGGGTCAAGCGGTTCTGGAGAAGCTCAAGTGCATTATGCACTATTTTCGGCGAGTGTGTCCCACGGAGCGGGACGCAAGCAATGTGCCCATCGGTACTGTGACCTTTGTCCGCCGAAGCGGGCTGCCGGAACATCAGGTCGACTGGAGCCAGAGTGCGGCGCCGTTGGGCGATGTGGCATTGCATGTTGATGCCGAGGGAACGATCGAGGACGAGGGCATCGGACTGCTGCAAGTGGACTTTGCCAACAAATATCTGGGTGGCGGTGTCCTCGGACACGGTTGCGTCCAGGAGGAGATACGCTTTGTGATCTGTCCGGAGCTTTTGGTGAGCAAACTTTTCACGGAATGTCTACGACCTTTCGAGGCACTGGTTATGCTGGGCGCCGAGCGATATAGTAACTATACGGGATATGCTGGAACCTTCGCTTGGTCGGGCAACTGTGAGGACTCCACGCCGAGGGACAGCTCTCGCCGTCGGCAAACGGCCATTGTGGCCATAGATGCACTGCATTTTGCCCAGTCGCATCATCAATATCGCGAGGATCTGATGGAAAGGGAGCTGAACAAGGCGTTTATTGGTTTTGTCCACTGGATGGACATGCCGCCTCCAGGTGTGGCCACCGGCAATTGGGGATGTGGTGCATTCGGCGGAGATTCCTACCTAAAAGCCCTGCTGCAACTCATGGTCTGCGCTCAACTGGGCAGACCATTGGCCTACTACACCTTTGGTAACACCGAATTCAGGGACGATTTTCATGACATATGGCTGTTATTTCGAAGTCAGGAGACTACTGTGCAGCAGCTTTGGGGTATTTTAAGGTCCTATAGTAAATTAATGAAGGAGAAAAGCTCCAAGGAGCCGCGTGAGCAAAAGGCAACTAAAAAGAAGCTATACGAATTTATAAAGGAAGAACTGAAGAAAGTCGGAGATGGGCCCGGAGAAGAGGCGCCCGTTGAAGCTGGAACATCAAAATCCGGATCATCAGGATCGGGAGAAGCAAAATCGGAAGCAAAACCCTCGACAACATCGGCGAAAACCTCGCCAGAACTTACCAAAAAACCGGCCCAAGCGAAAGGCACTACTACTCAACAGAGTCCCGATCTCTTTCCCCAATCATCGCAGGATGATTCCAATTCCTCTCAAGAGCAAGCCATTCTCATGCTGTCCGATGATGAGGAGACCAATGCCATGATGGAAGCCGCCAGCTTGGAGGCGAAAAACAGCGAGGAAGCCAGCAACAGCAGCACACCGGCCAAGAGCAGTAGCTCCGCCACGAAATCAGGAGCAACAGGTGGAAGTCGCCAGTTGACCCTGCTCGAGATGCTGGACTCTCACTACGAAAAGGGACAGCCCTCGAAGAGACCGAGAAAAGCGGCCAAGGGTGAGGGTCAAGCAAAGAGTCGCAAGGAGAACGATGTGCAGGATAAGGAGGATATTGTTGACTAAGTGATATATTGCCCTAGATTTGTACTGCCCTAAGAAAAAAGTTTATAACTATTACAAAATAGTTCTAATCTAAATGTTCCCCTATTCTTGGAATTTTCTAGACTAATCTTACAAAGAAATGACCTGTATCAAAAATTTAATTGTATGCTGATTATTTATATAATGTGAAGTATGTAGTTAAAATTAGTAAAGAGTTTTTTTTTCGAACCAAAACAAGTTTATTTTCAGTAAGACTTTATTTCACCACAACAAGAACATCAACAACAACCACGAAAAAAAAGCGAATATATATAGGGATTTATATATCTAAGCAGATCCAACTTTGCTGGCGAATCAATAGTGATTGCGTCGTTTGTTAGAAGGACAGTACTCGGCGTATTCCTCCCAAGTGCAGCCCGCCTTGGTGCAGCATTCATTTGAGATCGATGGGGCATGACCGTCCGCGCGCCGACTCCTCAGGAACATGTTGGCATAGTTCACATGCAGCCAGGTGGAGCCATCAGCTGGCAAAGTATCAGTTATCATTTATAATTTATACAAATTATAATAATTTAATGTTTGAACTTACGGTCAATGGAGCTCTTTTTGATCCAGGCCTCATCATTGCCTGTCCTTTTTTTGTTGCGCCGTGTCAGGCGGTAAATGTCCTTCTCGCAGGCCCAATAAAGCTGACGGACGAGCTTGTCCCGGCAGCGGGAGTGCGTCTCCTGGTGCCACACGTTCTCCCAGTCCGATTGGGAGCTGAAAAATACCAATATTTAATGGATTGATTTTCTAATGTGTTGTATATTTATATCTTAAATTCTCCAAAATGCAAAGCGAATTTTTTAAACATTTTCGTCGAATCAATTCAACTCTTGAAAAGAAGAGGTTCCACTCTAATGACATTATTAAAAGCAAAAATATACAAAAACACATAAAAACACATAAAAACACATAAAAATCCAGAATAATTAATAGTTTTTCTTTTAAACATTAGTATTCCGTTATAATACATCAATCCCATAGTTCATGTATCATTATCACCACTTAAAACTTCCCCCTAGTATGGAACCACCTCAAGTAACTCAGCTCCCAGTTAAGCTTTTTTAGCCAGAGAGGTGTCAAATTAAAGGGAGCTCAACTCACCGCTCACGGAAGAGCATCTCCAGGCCCTCCTCCGTGTGCTGCAGTGCCTCCGGCGTGGGGATCAGCGGCAGGACAAACAGGAGGACAGCGCCGCACAGCGTCCAGCTGCCCGAGTTGGGTAACATCATCCTGGACATGCTAGTCCACAATATTGGAGGCTCAGATCCTGGATCCTGGATCCTGGTGTGGTTCACACGGCGGACGCGTGTCGACTGAATGCTCTGGCCGGTGTGTTGTCCGGTTTTGAAATATATCCGGAGCCGGGCTCCGTCCGGATTGGCGGCCAACTGTCGGGCGTCGGCGGCATAATTAAATCGGTTGGTCAGCGCTCTATTTGAAGTAATGAGGGCCGGTGTCCTGGTCCTGCTACACTTACACTCCTCGTCCAATCCAATCTAATGAAGAGCAACGGCAGCAATTGCGTATGCGGCCCGTTGCCCGCATTATTGCCTTGTTTATCTGCGGGTCCAAATTGGACCCACTTCTCCAGCCTGGCACCTGTGATTCGCCATCAGGCCCACATGCAACCTGTTGCCCGGTTAACAAAACATCATAAAATCCTGCAAGTTACGCTGTTTGCCTCGTAAAAACATAGCGAACGCCGAGCACTTGTTTTTATTTCGAAGTTGGCATAAATTTTCCAATATTTGCACGAATTTCAACACGGCCCATGCTGGATAAACAGTGGGTCAAATACTGAAAACACAGGAAAAGTTAGTTGTAAAGCATAAGGTGCATTTGTTATATTTTGATTTTAACTGGCTAAATTAAGCTTGAATTGAATTTCATTAAAGTTTGTTTGTTTGAAGAAATCCATAACAACATTTTTGTTTGTTATACTGATAAAATTACTGAAAAATTATATTAAATGAATTTAAAAGATTTATGAATCCAGGAATTTTGATTATTTTATTGTAACAAATCCTGTACTATTTTCTAAAATGTCCCTTTTTATACCCTTGCAGAGGGTATTATAATTTCAGTCAAAAGTTTGCAACGCAGTGAAGGAGACATTTCCGACCCTATAAAGTATATATATTCTTGATCAGCATCACCAGGAGAGTCGATCTAGCCATGTCCGTCTGTCCGTCTGTCCGTCCGTCTGTCCGTCCGTCTGTCCGTCTGTCCGTCTGTCCGTCTGTCCGTCTGTCCGTCTGTCCGTCCGTTTCTACGCAAACTAGTCCCTCAGTTTTAAAGCTATCTGCTTGAAACTTTCGCAAAACTTGTCTTTCTATTGCAGGTAGTATATAAGTCGGAACGAGCCGGATCGGGCGACTATATCATATAGCTGCCATATAACTGAACGATCGGAAAAGCCATAACTTTGGTGTTTTTAAAGATAAGAAGTTGGGACTCTCTATGGGTATTATATTTGGCCAATCAATCCGACGTACCAAATTTCATAAGGATCTGCCGACTATATCCTATAGCTGCCATATAACTGATTGATCGGAAATGCCATAACTTTGGTGTTTGTAAAGTTAGAAAGTTGGGATTTTCTATGGGTTTTATATTTGGCCAATCAATCCGACCTACCAAATTTCATAAGGATCGGCCGACTATATCCTATAGCTGCCATATAACTGAACGATTGGAAATGCCATAATTTTGGTGTTTGTAAAGTTAGAAAGTTAAGATTTTCTACAGGTTTTATATTTGGCCAATCAATCCGACCTACCAAATTTCATAAGGATCGGCCGACTATATCTTATAGCTGCCATATAACTGAACGATTGAAAATGCCATAACTTTGGTGTTTTTAAAGTTAGGAAGTTTGGATTTTTTATGAGTATTAAGAATTTTTTTGTTCTTCAGGATTTGTTAATATTTAAATACTATGGAATTACGGTTTTCATTTTATTAAAATCGGATGACAGTATCATATAGCTCCCATAGGAACAATCGGAACAATTATATGAAATAAATGAGAAAAAAATTATTACTTCGATGTTTAATAATTTAAATAAATATACTTCAAGATATAGTAAATCTTGAATATTTTAGATTTACGTTTTAATTTTTATTGAAATCGGACAATAATATCATATAGCTTTCATAGAAATGACCGAAAACTTGAGAGTAAAATCGACCTAGCTTCATTGTTATATCAGGCGATTCGAATACATCTTCCGTCAGTTCGTAACTATAACTTTGTCGTTTCCTAAAATATTTCCATATACTCCAAGATATAGTAAATTTTAGCAATCTCAGAATAATAGTTTTAATTTTATAAAAATTTTAAGACTATATCATATAGATGTCTTAGAATGATCATTAAATAACAGGCAAATCAACACAGCTTAAGCGTTTTGAAACATTTACTGACATTTTTGGAGAAATCATATGTTTTAAGATTGTATACAAATCATATAGATCTTGCAAATAAGATTGGCATACTGACATAATCTTTTCCTTTCAACATATTCCCAGATTTCAGATTCAGTTATTATTATTTTTTATACCCTTGCAGAGGGTATTATAATTTCAGTCAAAAGTTTGCAACGCAGTGAAGGAGACATTTCCGACCCTATAAAGTATATATATTCTTGATCAGGATCACCTCCTGAGTTGATATAGCCATGTCCGTCTGTCCGTCTGTCCGTCCGTCTGTCCGTCCGTCTGTCCGTCTGTCCGTCTGTCCGTCTGTCCGTCTGTCCGTCCGTTTCTACGCAAACTAGTCCCTCAGTTTTAAAGCTATCTGCTTGAAACTTTCCCAAAAGTTGTCTTTCTATTGCAGGTAGTATATAAGTCGGAACGAGCCGGATCGGGCCACTATATCATATAGCTGCCATATAACTGAACGATCGGAAATGCCATAACTTTGGTGTTTTTTAAGTTTGGAAGTTGGGATTTTCTATGGGTCTTATTTTTGGCTAATCAATCCGACCTACCAAATTTCATAAGGATCGGACGACTATATCCTATAGCCGCCATATAACTGATTGATCGGAAATGCAATAGCTTTGGTGTTTGTAAAGTAAGGAAATTGGGATTTTCTATGGGTTTTATTTTTGGCCAATCAATCCGACCTACCAAATTTCATAAGGATCGGCCGACTATATCTTATAGCTGCCATATAACTGAACGATTGGAAATGACATAACTTTGGTGTTTTTAAAGTTGGGAAGTTGGGACTTTTTATGAGTATTAAGAATGCATCATATGAATAATTTTGGAGAATATAATTTATAGAATATTCTGCAAGGGTATATCAACTTCGGCTCCGCCCGAAGTTAGCTTTCCTTTCTTGTTAAAATTATTTTTTATAGTTTTAGTTCCTTAACCCACTGTGAACATTGTGTGTTCCCGTCGCCCACACGCAGACAATAGGTTTAGCTAAATAATGTCACTGTTTACACGTTCTGTGCGAATTTATGATGCACCTTTCCGGGCCACAATGTTCCTCAGGTTCCAAGTCCAAGACCTTTTTCGTTTGCTTGTTTTTCGAGCTCAGTTCTTGGATGACTTTGCCGGTGGCTGGTTGCTTTTGAGGAGCGTTTTTTTTCTATAATTTTTTGTAAGTGTTTGCCAAGCTTTAATTTAGCCAAACGTTAGTAGTTAAAAGGCTCCAAAGGTGCTATGTTTTTTTAAAGTGCTAATATATCAGTTAAATTTTAAAATAAGTACAAAATAACTGCCTTGTATTAATTCCAACCTGAATTATTAATTGTCACATTTTACTACCTTTTCCATTTATTTTGGGTGAACAGACCATCAGTTGAAATTAAATAGCAAACAAATAATGTGTCAAATTAATGCAGAATCTGATTTAATTTTTGCATTCCAATTAAAACCCATGTTTCGCTTTAATTAACTTAAATACAAATACATTATATAAGTTGCATTTAAATAATTTATTTGTGTCACGTAACATTTTTTCTTTTTCCTAAAAAGCTTTTTAAAAGTCCCTTCCATGCCCATAAACAATTGCGTTAATATTGTGTACACAGAGTCATCAATTTTATTTAACACAATGAACAAATTTTATTGTACATATACATTCATATATAAATACAATAAGTTCTGCTTTTTACCTTACGCTATTAAACTATTTGCTGCATAACTGGAAATAAAAAATTATGATTACATATCATAATGCATTTTTTATTCGCTAGTTTTGTTCAATTTTTCTGAGGCTAGGCGGCTAGCGAATACCCTTCTGGGTCCACAAAAAAAACTTGTTTAGTTTTAAGCTTAAACCCTAGAATATTTAAATTTTCCCTCTGTTCAATTTTGACTTTTTTTTCGGTTGTTTCCTTTTCTAAATTCAAATATTGTTCAATTCCACAACTGTGCTAGGAATGCAGTAGAATACATTTACAAATACAAATATAAATACATAAATATGCATTTATGTTACTATATATATAAATATTCATTTGATATATAGATACAATAGTTTATTTAAATACACTGGCTTATATAAAATGTGTACTGAGAAGGGAGCAGGTGTTCTTGGAAAAGTTGAGAAATTTAACCGCAAAGTGGCTATATTTATGGTTTACTGTTTTCAATATTCTGCAAAAACTCCATTAAGTAAGATTACTTAGTTTTAAAATCTACTTTACCAATTAATTGTATTATTTTTTTTGCGGAGTTCTATGGTTTTCTGTGGTAAGTCACAAAAAAAAAATTTCCCCAGAATCACATACTCCCATTTCCGTAAATTTTTGATGCCATAGCTTAATTTAGCTGTGTTTATTGGGTTCCATTAAAATTCGGCAAGGCCGAAGCCATGCAAACAAAAATGTCAACAAAAATATTAATATTTAATCGATTTGCCTTATCTAATAGTCGAATGCTTATAAACATTGTAATGTGTATTTAATTACTACATGATTAATTTATCTCATAACTAAAACATTTTGCATGGCTAACAATCGGTAAATTTATAAATTAATTAAATGTAATAGGAAATGGAGGGGATTTTAGTTGGCTTATTGGTAATCTTTCTTTAATTTAAAGGGTGAAAACGTTTTATCATCAAACGGGCTTTAAAATCCCTTTGTTGATTGATTAAATTAGCATAAAGAAAAGGGATGACGAGATTACATGTATGTGCCATTCATATTCAATTGAGCTTTGCTAGTATCAGAGACATTTTATTTTTCCCTTAAATCGATAATGAATTACTGAAACATTTACCTGCGTCTAGAAATTACAGCTCTGTTAACATACATTTTGTCTTAAGTATAATAAGAATTTCAGTTATCCTTTTGCTATTCTTCCATATAATATATTTCAATAGGGAATGCAAGAAACAATTAGTTTTAAAAAATATTTTACTTAAATTCCAACATTCCAACCTTAAAATCCTTTTGTTCAATCTGGTCATGTAATATTATAATAACTTTTGTTGTGGCCTTTTTGTTTTGTTATATAAATTTCAGCTATTTAACGCTTAATGACTAAATGACACGTATGCATATTACACAAAAATCTACACATTGTTACAGGAATTCCTTTGTTTATTAATACTACTCATTGGTTTTTTTTTGTAATTTCTCATCAATTTCTGTTAAATGGAAATTACAGCATATCTGTTTCAGATTTTTTTTTGGTTGCCATTTCTAATATTTTATATGCAAAATTTCATTTCAAACAATTAAATTGTAATCTTTTCTTTTTTATAAAATTTAGATTTATGTTAAATTCTTAAAACTATTCATTTTTTTTATACTTTATAGTCTCAAATAAAAATCATACGGCGTCTATAGTTAAGAAAAATTAAAAAGATTCATTAAACATATAATAAACTTCCTACGTTTCATTGAAAAAAAAATTGTGTGTTTCTTTTAAACTATCAAAAACAATCACATCTTATAATTCGGAAAATTATATTCTCCTTATAGACATATATTTGGATATAATATATGTATATAGTTAACTTATATGCGCCGCGATTTAATTTTAAATTTAGTTTTTTGTGTTGTTTGTTAGCTTTAAATTCACATTTTCCGTTTTGAGTTTGAAAATCGCCTTCAAAAATGATGTGACGATCCCCATTCATTCATTCTCAAGAACTGTAAAGAGAAAATGGTTGTTTAGCTTTAATGTTGTTTTAATAATTACTTTCAAGGTGAAATTTATTAAGAATTGAGATCAGAAATTATAATTATAAATTATAATACGTGTTTTTAGTATTTTTATAAAGATGATTGGCTTTAAATTAAAATTGTTTCGTATGTATAAGTAAAAGTTTCTTTTACTGAACAAAATTAACCTACTCGCTTATAGCATTTCAATATTGGACGTTCCGTTGCCGGTTGCAGTTCGCGTGGTCTTGGTCACCTGTTGATTTGTCATCAAAGGCGGTGGGCTGCCACACCAAACGACCTGCGAATTCATCATTATAAATGAGTACACATCATAGTTAAAAAATTGTGAAAACTATCAAGGATCCATGTGCTCACCTTGCGGAATGCCTTGCGAAAGTTGTCGGACAGGAAGGCATAGAGTATGGGATTGATGCAGGAATTTGTGTAGGCCACCACATGAGATATAATCTGGATGATGACTGATGAGTGACTGCCGCCGTAAAGATTCAGCGCCTTCAGCACAAGGATGACCTGGAAAAATTATTATAATAAATTATTATATAGTTTTATATTACATTATATTGTACTTTTAAAACTTTGTTTATGCAGAAAAATCATCTAAAACCTGCACTTTTTGGTCCATAACTTTTCTAACTGAAGTCTGATTTTAAAACGTTATGTCTTGAAAGGATCGTGTGCTAATTACCTGAAAATCTGCATTCAAACTTTGGTTTGTAATTTTGGATCGATTTTCTTCACATTTTTATGATGGTTACCCTTTCCAAATTGTCGAAAAACGGGTTTGCCAAAAAGTGACCCAAAACCTGCACTTCTAAGTCCATAACTTTTCGATCCGAAGTCCGATTTCAAAATGGTATGTCTTAAAATGATCGTGTGCTTATTACCTAAAAATCTGCATTCAAACTTTGGTTTGTAATTTTGGATCGATTTTCTTCACATTTTTATGGTGGTTACCCTTTCCAAATTGCCGAAAAACGGCTTTGTCAAAAAATGACCCAAAACCTGAACTTTTAAGTCCATAACTTTTCCAAATGAAGTCCGATTTTAAAATGGCATGTCTTAAAAAGCTTGTAGGCTAATTACCTACAAATCTGCATTTATACCTTGGTTCAAAGTTTTGGGTAGATTTTTTGACATTTTGGAAAAATCTGAAAACTGACCTAAGACCTGCACTTTTAAGTCCATAATTTATCTAAATTAAATCAGATTTTAAAATGGTGTGTGCTAATTAGCAATTTAAATCTAGCTTCGTTACTTTCATATTATAACAGCTGCAAGTATAAAGAAGCTTAGGCCCTCCGAAGTTTGCTTCCTTTCTTGTTATTTATAAAATTATGATTATACGATTTTGTAATGCCTTTAACAATAGGCCTTTTATTTAAAATCCCTTTCCGCGTTATAAACGTATAAAATTTAGCAATTCAAACATGAATGCCATATGGCTTGCATTGACAAATGCAATTCGCACATCTTGCACATCGAGTGTCTGTGTAATTGTAATTTCGTTTGTAATTTGTCAGCGCATTGATTTTGTGCAAATACTTTGAGTGCTGGCAGCTCAAGGAGCAGCAGCTGCTGGCTTATTAAACATTTCAGCAAATAAATGAGGGGGAGGGGAGGTCTCAAAAGGGGGCCGGAATAGCGAAGATGCCAATTTATCGCAACTATCCGCTGTGTTTGCCAACAAAATTTGCCAGCAGCTGTTGCGGATGCCAATTTTTACTCAAATTGATGGTTGAACTTTAAGCAAATTTATTTTGTGAAGTTTGGGATTTAATTTGTAATTCTATTATCATTTGTAGCCTGTAAAAAAATTGTTAGTATCTTTAAAGTTGTAATATATATCCCTTACGTTCATTAGGTGACGCACAAACGTTATATAAACTAAAGTAAACTCGTTATTCAAACTGACCCTTAACCTTTATGTTCAAATTCTCACTAATTTTGTTTTTCAATTACCTATTTTCGATTCTCAATGTTCAATGCCAATCATTGTTAAACCAAAAATACATGAGATGATTTTCTGGTTGGCTGTCAATTAAATGGCGAATCCCACTATCAAAAATTGCGAATTTGACACTAATGAGCTGATTCGCAAATTTCCGTAGCACATTTTTAGTTTTAATTATGATGGGTGGTTTACTTACATGAATGGGTAGCCAGCAAATCGCAAAAGCCAATACGACAACAACAACCATTCGGGTCACGCGTCGCTTTCCCTTCCTGCAAAAACAAAAACAAAAACAACAACGGAAAATCGGAGAGTTAGTAAGCAATATATTCTATATATGCAAAAGACATGGATCCGGGGGTGCATGTTTATTATGCCGCAGTTCAGTTTGTGAATTTTGCATTGCCTGCTGCTCGGTGATTTATGAACTTTGCGTGCGAATTGCGAACTCGTCGCAACTTCATTTCCATTCAAATTTAAAACGCAGCCTAAAACATAGATTTCCACAAGATATATGCGAAAAGATTGTGGATACTGGATGAATTATATGTGGGTGAAAACCAACGCATTCGATTCCATATGGCTTAAAGTTACTCACATTTATTTTTTTTAGTTATCTAGTTTATTTACTTGACAACCATTGCATTTTATTGCATTTCTTGCATAATACTACTTTTTGTTTTCTTTAACATTTTATTGATTCCATCTGAAAGTTTTCTTCGACTGAATGTGAGTACAATTTAATAGTATTCGATTTATGATAAAACCAAAGTTTGCCAAAGTATTTACGAAGTTTAAAGAAGCTGCAAGTTCTACTTGAAATTGATGGTTGGTGACCCCGAGCACGTCTGAGTTACTTGGGTAACTTTACTTTTTACTTTAGCCTTAAAGCATAATTTAAGTTACTTGCATTGATGCTTTTACTATAAAGTTTACGTCTTCTGAATTAAAATGCTACATTTTTCTGAGAAGTTAATAATATCTTGGGATAATTCCTTTGATCATAAAATTATTAGCAAAAAAGATTATATAAAAAATATAAAGACAAATATTTATTTCAGTAAGCTCTGTTAAATTGTATTTTAGATTTCTTACAAATTCCCAAAAATATAGTCATAAATTCTACAAAAATTCATTTTATAAGTTTTGTACAAAGTCTAGCTGTTTTTGGCAAACCATTTCACCGAGTTTAACAACAATTGTTCAACAGGACCTTGTCAGTCGCATTTTTTTCCTGAATCCTGTGTGGAAATGTCGGGGGAATATCGCTCACATTTGTACTTATGGCTCGGTTTCGTTGACCCGGCCACTTAAAAATGCATGAGCCAAAGCTCATGAGCTTTCCTCGCAGCCTAATAAAAAGGCATTCATCATGGCAGCAGGTGCGTAGCTACACAACCAAAAAAAACATGGCCTGGAAAATTCCCTCGCCAACTGCGTATACGCGATATTTGCATGCTGGGGTTGTGGGGATTTTACTTTCAGCAGCACTACATAGTATATACTCACCGTGACTCGGCGGAAGGTTTGCAGCCGGGAGCACTTTTCCACAGACGGGCCAGCATTCCCATGTAAAGGAAGCAAATCAGCGTCAACGGAGCCACATAGGATGATAAAAAGAATGAGACCTGAAAGGGATACAAAAATAGGGAAAGGAAAATAATAAATAACTGCTGAGTTGGGTTCAGACTAACACATATTTCGACCGGCTTGAGAATCAGCATAAGATTAAAGCTTAAACTCATTTGCCAACATTTGTGTAAATATTTTTAAAATCATCAAAATATAGATTAGATGATAAAAATCTAAAAATTACGTTACCACCCTTTTAACAAGAAAAATTTTCCAAATTTCTTTTAGCAAATTTTCAAGTAAGGAAAGACACAATTTTATACATTTTTCTCGATCGGCCCACTGCAGTAAATATAAATTGGCATTGCTATCAATGAAATGTTTTAATAAAACCATCAACTTGCTAATTGTATGTTTTTCAGTTACTCTTAATATATATTAATTTTAATTTTTTTGCAAGGCTGCTCTCCATTTTTTTGCGACTGCTTTCGGTCGAAGGTTTTTCCTCTGCCATCTGCTGCCATGTCAGCGGCTTTTGTTTTTGCATGGAAATTGTCAGAAGCGCTGACCCGTAATGCTGACCAGATACCAGATATGAGTACCAGACACTTGCCAGCCTCCCAGAAATCCCCGAAGCCCCCGAAGCCCCCGAGAAACCCCCATTTCCATCCACCAGCTGCCGCTTAGCCGTATTCCAAACAGGCAAAAAGATATATGCATTTATATCCATGAAATACGCGTGTGCATGAGATAGTGGCGTTGGAAAAACTGGCGGAAAATACTCGTAGTTATGCTGGTTTTTGGTTGAACATCCGTGTATTGTTTGGTGGAAATTCCACGAAAACGAATTGGTTCGAAATTGCCTATAAACCAAAATAATGAATACTCCTATTAAGAGGATAATCAATCTGTTTAGGCCGATGGGCAATGAATTGGGTTTATTTTGCTATAAATTGTGTTTTAAGTAGAGTATTTGGCTGAGAAGAAAATCGCATTAATTGAGGGAAATAAGTTTGTGAATATATGAAGAAGTTGTCTTAAATGTATTTTTAAATCCCTTTTGTTTATTATGTAAACAACTTAAATGTAAGCAAGAACTTTGTCAATTAATTGAATATATTTTCTATCAAAGGTCAAATTAAACACCCTTTTTGGAACCACTTTTCAAACCAGCTGGGTGGAAATCAACTTATTAATTTGCAGTAATTCCTGCCCTTTTATGAACTCGATGAATTGTTGAGCTAGTTGGGGCTTTTACCAACTTTCGAGAGCCGCCAGCAATTGATATTTAAAGTATTCAGAGGCCTGAATTGAGTTGGGCTCTTCGGTTTTTCTGGGGCCGTGCATCCATTTTTGGGATATCCAAATGAGCTGCTGGCTTAAAACTCATTTGGCGGCGCCCCAAACTTTTGAGTGGATTCGGTTTTCTTTGTGGGCGCCAGCCAGCAGCCAAGTGTAAATGATTAAGGAGCTTTCCCCTTGCCGGAAAAGCGGAAAACAGGCAATGAGAACCAGCCAAATATGCATAAAGGTGCAAGTCAAAATATATGTAAATATATCAATTGTGAGCCTCGAAAGCAATGAATCGGAAAAAGAAAGAAAACGCAAAAAGTACACGGAGGGAAAACATCTTAATATTGAAAACTGGTAGACGATGTATTTACTTTTTGTTTAACTTAAAATAAAACTGATCTTAAATAAAAGTATATTAGTATATGCTTGGCATTTTTCCATCAGACTTCCGCTTTAAAAAAATATTTTATCATAATTTTAGAAACCTTTCTTAGTGATTTTAAAGCCCTGAATTGTGTATATATTTTTGGCCAGTGCATCGATTAAATCGCGCATACCGCTATGGTTAATAATCGTTGCCACGCCCCCACATTCATATTCCGGAGGGCGGTGGCGAATGCCTGTCAGCTATGGAATCGAAATCACTTTGTTGGGATTTACCCATGGCCATGGCCAATGAACATGTCGTTTGTTATCGACAACGACAACGGCAACACAAACAAGGACATCACGGCGAGGACGAGTGACATAATCCGCGCTGACACTTCTCCGGATCCGGATCCGTATCCGTATCCCCGAATCCCCGAATCCGACTCCAAATACGAATCCGAGTGCGCATTCTGGGTCTGGAATAATGATGCCCGAATATCGTCTTCTGCACTCGCCAGATTTTTCACCCATTACTAAAGGTATGTTGGATTTAAATGCAGTAATGGACTCCAAGTAATTTTATATCAATACAAGGTAAGTAGTTATCCAAAAATATAAGATAACTAGAGTAATAAGTAAGTAGAGTTAACAAAAACTAAATAAATAATTTATAAAATGCATTAGTAAATGATAATTTAAAAAAACTCAAAGCGATTTGTAATTATACTCATTTAAGTTATGGAACGAGTATATTAACCTAACCTTTATTTTTATAAATATTTATTATGATTTATATTTATTATGATATTTATTTTATGAGATCTGAAAAAGGAGTATCAGTAAATCGTATATATATTGCTGGCATATTCCCTTATCTTTATTTTTTCTGATATGAAGGAGGATTACTGATGCATTAATTAAAGTGTTGATTGCAAAGGAAATTGTTTGTAATGCGTGGCAATGATGTTAACGATATCTCGACTGAATGCTGCAATTTATGACACATTCGCAAGACAAAGGGATTTATTGTGAATATTATTGGCTCCCTTTCTCCTTTCTCCTTCTTTATTTGTCATTTATTGTTCGAGTGGTAAGTGGCACAATTTGATTACCACAGTCAGTGAAGCGGACTATCGAAAACTTTTTTGGCCTTATGGAACTTTTTTGAGCCTGTTGTTTAATGTATTTATAAAGCTTAAAATGTTCTAATTGACCTTAAATAAAACATTTTAATTTTCCAGTTTATTCAGGGCTATTTGAGATTGCGGAAAAAAGGTACTGCCAACATATAATAGGATTTTTTCAGCTTTCATTTAACTTAAATTTCTTCAACTCTGGTAAATCAAGATAAAACTTTCTTCAAATGAAAAGAAGAAACTTTGACTTAAACAACTTTTCAACTTCTCATGCTCACTTTAAAATTAAATAGTTATCAGCAAAAACTTGCGCCAAAAATGGTCCCAGCTGCTTTTGGCCAAGTTGTCGTCCAAAACTGGGAAAAAAAACAAAACTGAAAGTCATTTTCTCGGCAAATGATTAGCAAACATTTTCAAATGGGTTTTTTTTCTGGGCCCAACTGCATTTTCAAATGGATGATCCAGTCATTTTGTGTTGTCAATGGGCCGAAACAAGTGCGTATAATATATCTCGACATCTGAAGAACTATAAACTTTGCCATGGGGGTTATAAAACTTCCACTTAGGAAATAGAAAGATGCAAAATGTACTAGAAACAAAGCTACATAGATACCCGAATCGATGGATATCCACCATGAAATTTTACAGCACCATCGCCATAAATAAAAGTTGCCAAACTTGAGCGAACTTTTTGTTTTTTTTTTTTTTGTTTTGGCCAGCCTTTAAACTTTATGCGGGTCCTAATAAAAAGCCATAAACTGAAGTGTGTGCCGTATGATAAATGGTCGGGGGCGTATACTTAATATTCGGCATGACCTAAAAATTGCGCCTGGGATTTGTCCATAAACGCAACTTGACACTCAGCGAAATTAATCAACTTGCCACAGGCTCTGATGAGTATTCCCCTCCCCCCAGCAATTTCCCTTGACTATCCCCAGGATATATATGTATACCAAAAAAAGATGATTGAAATTATGAATTGGCTGCGAAATTGGGTATATAATACGCTGGCACTTTTAACAACAGCTTTAATAACGTGGAAAAATAATTCTCTTAAAATTTCTTTTAATATCTATATTGAATTGAAATCATTCGAAGATCTTGTTTATCCATGAGTATATATTGGTATAAATATAAATATTTGTTTGCCAGATTTTGGTTCATAAATCTTTTAAAAAATGTAGCTTGAACATTATTTAAAGTTACTTGAAAGTCCATTCTTCATCCTGTTTATAAAACTCTTCAATATTAAGTAAAAATAACAGAAGTCAACTTTAATAAACGTTGTGAACATCTCAAGAGTCGTTATTTCTTTTTTTTTTGGGGGAGTATTGAAAGATAAACACTATTTTTACCGTCCCCTTCCAGACTATTTGTTTCAGTTTTATGAGTTCTTTACGATGACAACAATTCGGTCGTTAGTTTCGCTGTTCGCTTTGCTTTGACTGATGCGTCGCACAAGTTTGATCCATTTTTATTTTATTGCCAGACAAGGCTCGAACTAACGCACGATATATATATATAAATATACATTGACCCTGACAATGACTATTTCCAGGGGCGGAAAATCAAATTCGAACTAAAAGTGAGATTCCTTTTCAATAGTTAAGCGATGTGGCAGATTCAATGCTCTTTCGAGTGGAGTAAATAGTGAAAATTTGTATAAATAATCATAAGCTTGTAAAATAGTTAAATAACTAGAAAAACGGTTAAAATGATGTGTAAATCCTAAAGTCCTTTAGCCTTATCCAATTTTACAGTTCTAGAATTTCCATAATACCTTTGAAATCCTTGATCCGCTTTAATTGCCAAAGTTTTGATTGTCTACGAGAAAATCCCTTAAAGAGCATTCACACTTTGTACTCAGCACCCAAGTTGTGGTTTCCTTTTCGTGTTTTCCAAAGCAATTGCGATTTATGTGCACAGGCGACAGGGGTGTGGTGTGGCAAAGGGGGCGTGGTGCCACCCGGACAGAAGGACGAAGGACATGTCCCCGCATTCGTATCCTTATCCATGTCAGTGTCGGAAAACCCGGAGCGAAGCGAACTGTGCAATTTGCCTGGTGCCAGGTGGCTTTGGAGTGGAAAGGTGAGCCGGGAAAATTCGGGAGGAGGAGGGGGCAGAGGACGAGTGTCGAGGAAACTTCACGGGTGCATATTAGCTGAAGATACCGAATGGCTCTGGTAGTCAGTCAGTCACTAAGTCACCTGGACACACTGAGCATAAAGCTACCGAATCTTCTGGTCTTGTTGTTGAAAAACCCATTCCCATCTTCTGAAGTTATTTCCTGATACCTTTTACTTGTCACTATATAAATAATATTATATATTAAGTAATAAAATTAATTGGCAAGCTTTTAATATCTGGTAATTAAGGAAACCAAACAATTTATAAATTTTTAACCAAAGTCGCATGAAAAAATGCTATACAAATTGTTAAGTTGTTTAGTAAATTATATTTGCACTTTTACATTCAAATTACATGATCATCAAAATAAGAATCAGGATATTTCATTCTCTTTTCTCTCAGTGTAGCTATTCGGGGCGTCATTCATTTGTTCTGTGAATGGAAATAGACGACAAAGCTCATTCATTCCACTCCCCTTCATTTGGCGCCCTTCGGGGCCAAAACAACTGTGGCTTTTCCGGTGTAACATCCTTCCGGCATGAAATTACACTCGAAGACCCTCGCAGTCCCCGAATTGATTAATAGACAAAAGTTCAAGTAATAAACATAACAAAGTCGGGGGAAAAAATATGAGCAACTCAAGCGGACGGAAAAGCGATTTGGGGTAACGCTGATCTATGAGGGGAAAAATAGACCCATAATGATGATGGAATTGTGCTATCTTTCCCCAATCCGAAAACTGGCGAATAATTGCAAAATTCAGCACTGGACGCACTCTGCAGCTTTTTGGCATTTTGCTGGATCTGAAAGGATTCGTTTGTCCTGGCCCAAACAAAAATGCATTGTGTGGATGGACAGTGGTTTAATCAAGTCAAAGGCATTGTCTTCACTTTTGATTGAGAGCTGGAAAAGTGCTAATAAATGCGCTTCATATATCAGCGACCAAAACCCTTGGTTGCCGTGAAATGAATGGGAAAGTGTGGAGGGAAAATTCGCTTTGATTGCGGATTTTGGGCTAACCTATTTTTAGAGCCAAATTTTCCACATCTGCCCGCCGCCTTTGTGGGAGAAATAATTAAATTCGTGGTTTGTCTTTCTGAGAGAATGAATTTAAAATGAATGGCTTTTGCCGCACTGAAAATAGTCTATTTATTTCAAAACAATAGTTTTGGAGATGTCCTGGAGTTTATAAACCAAATGGTGTGTGAAAAATAAATATTTTTGGATTTCATTGTATTTCTTTGGTTAAATTTTTGCCTTGAATAAAAATATGTACAGCACTGCGTATGAGCGATTAAATTTAAATGCTTTGCTAAACATTTATTTTTTCCAACACATTACTTTAATTTCAATTGAAAACTTAAATATATAAATATTTACAATCTTAACTACATTTTTAAACATGATCTTTGTTTATCGACCCACTGTTTCTGAACTAATATATGTTCCCTGGTTCTTGGGTTGCGCTGATATGTTACACATCTTGACAAGTTGTCCTCGCATTTCGGAATAAAAGGACTAAATGTGGGTGGGAAGCGAAGTGAAGGAGTGTCCTTAAGTAGCAAATATATTGCAGTCTTGCCGGCCAAGCACTGGAAAATATGACTTGATTTCAACAATAAGCGATTTCTCGCCATTTCACTCGAGCTTTGCGCACAACAAAGTTGGTGGATTGTACACAGAAAAAAATCTATTTGTTTAAAAATAAATAATGATAAATAATACATAATATAACCAAGCAATTTAATATTCAACCAACATTTTTATATTAATCAACATTATGGATAAATAAGATGTCTGATTTCCGAATTCATATATGTTAAATAAGATACCTTTTTTATACTTGATAGTGTTCTATCATATCTTTACAGAATATTAGATTTTTTTAGGCCAGTTTTTACTTGTAAAAAATCTTATTTATGTTTAAAACGCGTTGTTTTTTTCGGTGTAGGGGGAGGAACTAACCTGAAAACCGACAAGGCTCCAGACCTCCTCCTCCGTGGAAAATACGCAAGCGGTGCCGGCATTTCCTTGGTACTGATAAATTCGCACCGAGTGCGAAAGGGCCACCGGAATCGCAGTCGTCACAATCGTTATCCAGGCGCACATGATGGCCCTAAGGGAATGAAGAGAACAATGTATAAAAACGGGCAGATATAAACGGGTTTCAATATATTTCGGACCTTAAAATAAAACCGGGTAATCACGGGATCTCTGGTTCATAAGTGTCTTTAAATAATATTTATTTAATAGCAAAAAAAATGTAATAAGATGTACTGTACTTTTTATTTATTTTGTTCGATAGTTAAGTTTTAAATAAAGAGCACATGTTCTTTTAATGCCTGCATTTTGTACTATTTTTAAAAAATTACTTTTTAAGCCATACTCTTCTTTTCCTACCTCGAATTTCTTAAGACACGTTGCAAGTTTTTTAATCAAGGAAGCTGCCAACAAAGTTTGAACTTGTTTTAGGGGAAAAAATTTCTACGAGATATCCGGACGCTTTTTGTGGTTTTTAATTTCTTGCAAATCTTTCTCGGTTGGCCCAGAAATTTGTTGACGACTTTCTTTGGCTAAAGTTTTTTGCTGCCTTAAAGGTTTTTCGTCTGTTAAAGATTCCATTGTGAACTTGAAAGCGCTATCCTCGGACATGTTTATGTGACAAAGACGAGTGACAGGAGACAGAAGACAAAAGGTCAGAGGTCAGAGGGAACAGGACTTGCAGGTAGGCAAAGCTAGCTAATTACAAAGCCCGGACAAATTGATGCAATTACTCTAGATGATGTGGGATACGGGGAGCAGGTGGGCTACACTTTAGAAAAAGTATTTTTGAATTTATAGTATTGACTCCTTGTCAATAATAAATATCTGAACAAAAAGAACGATGGAAAACTGATAAAAACCTGTTAAAAGTTTTAAAAAACTTGCAAAACTCTTTTTTTTTTGCCTAACTCACTAATAAAAATTTGAAAATAGTAAAAACTACAAATGATTGTGCTTTTGGTAACACTTTTATTTTATTTAAAAATTGTGTCTCTCTAATAATGATTTCAATAATAAGTTAGATTAAATAGAATTTAATTTCAGTCTTCTTTTTGATTTTGTAAAATTTTAAAAGACACAATTTTAGGATTGGTGAAATCTATTTAAATCAATAAAAATTTCAAATAAGCTAAGTGTATCGAAGGAAGTTTCTTTAAAGGAGGCACTTACAGTGTGGCATTGCGCTCCGTTCGCAAGGACATGCTCGTCACGGGATGAACGACGGCCAGGAAGCGATCAAAGGACATCAGGACCAGCGTGTAAACACTGCAAGTCACAAGTAGGGATATAGGATATAGGATATGGGACATATGCTTATATGGGATATGGTGGGACTGGGGCACACCCACCTGCAGTGGCACGTAACCACAATCATGTACTGGACAAACTTGCACCACACATTGCCAAACGGCCACTCGGGCAGCACGTAATCGGTGGCCGTGAATGGGACGCAGAAGATGACGAACAGGATGTCGGAGACGGCCAGGTTGATAATCAGCAGGTTGGTGGTCGAGCGCATCTGCTGGTTGGCCACAACCACTGCAAGGACATGCAAATTGAGTGGTTTATATCAGGCACGGAACTCTGTACACAATTACATTTAAATACTTAAAAACTATATCAATTTATTCATTTTCCAGACATTCGATTTTATTTGGATATTTGAAAATATCCATTTTGAATACGTCATTGTGGTGAAATCGATTTTTTGTGTAAATTGTTGTGTTAAACCATAAAGATACATATTTAATTATTATTTAAAAACTTTAAATTACCCAGTATATTTTTAATGTCGTCTTTCTTTAAAAGTTGTTTCTGTATAGAATTTTGAAATTGAATTTGTATTTTATTTTTAGATTCTGTAATAATAATGAAAGACGCTTTTTAAATTTAGCCTAGCTTCATATGTTCAAGTCCCCATTTTGGTGTGAGCTCTCTTCCCATTGAAAATTGTTAAATAAAATGAAAACTCATAATGCTAAGAATCTCGCTGCCATGGCAATGGTCCGGCTTTCACTTACTGCAGTGGGTGGAGCCCCTCCAACAATTTTCCGCTACACAGCCCCCCTCCCCCTTTGGAAAACCCCCGCCCCTGGCTTTGCCCTTGAAGCTTTTCTTTTCCACCAATTACGCGGACAAAAGGCAGCAAACAACGCACACTTCTGTAAAGGATGTTTGGGTGAGTATGTGTGTTTGTGGGCGGGTGTGAGTGTGTGTGTGTGTGACATGGGTGGAGGGCTGAATTCCGAAAAAAAGGGGGGTGGCGAAAACAGGAGTCTTTCATTGTTACTATTTGGACTCTTTGTTGTCGCTCTCTACTTTCACTTTTTTTACCCGCTTTCCCCGAACCCAGCTTTCTCTACTTTCTTTCAATTTTCTCCTTAGAGTCCCCCTTTTCTTCTTTAAACCTCTCTATTTTTTCAGCATTTTTTCTTATATTTTTTCTCTTGGCCAAAGGAGCCACTTGCAATTAGCCAACAATTTATGTAGCTCCACACAAGAGAAGCGTGACAAAGGGAAAAAATATAGAAAAAAAGTGGGTGACTCTAAAAAGGGGGTCACAGCGGTGTTGAACTGTAACAAAATGTTATTTGACCCAAAAGAAGATGCCAATGGATTGATGTGGGCCACGAAGCCAAAGGAAATAAAAACTCGAAAGCACAACAATCATTTAAGAGTAAAAAGAGAGGAAAAGTAGAGCAATTCAGGTGCAAAGTCAAAGGAAATGGAAAATGTCGCGCAGTACACTCAGAAATCTACTTGAAGAATGTAAGACACATAACAAATCTTTCTTTGCCTTTATATTTGTTTTTTATACATTTGATTTCTTTAATTTTTTTTGGTTATTTAAAGATATAGTTTGTATGTGGGCATTGTTCCCTAAATAATTATAACTTTATAATTTTATAGACTAAAATTTTCCCAGTGCAAAATCAGTAACAACGAGGCGCGCCCGCAAATCAATTTCCTTTTCAAATATATATTTAGCGCAGGATGTTTCAAGGTAAACAAAAAGCGCAAAACCTCCCAAAAAATAAGAAAAGAATACAGAAAACAGGCAATAGAGTAATAAGTAGCAGCAGGAAAAGAAATATGCGAATCAATAGTAATGGCAACGAGAAAAACCGGTGACAATAATACAAAATTATTCGGGTTGCATGTAAAAATATAAATATATATAGCAAATTTATGTTTTAGTATACTGTATATGTACAGGAAGACAGCAGATGTGCGCCATAAGGTGCTTCAACTGTGACCCCGTTTAAACCCATGCCAAAAGTTTCTTTCCTTCATTGTTTATTGCTGAATAGTTTTTGGCAACAGACTGGTAGCAAATTTTTGCCATTTTGGCATAAGTATTTGCATAGAATTGCCAAAATATGGCAAGAAAATTAAATGGTATTACCTATAAAAAAAACTAGGACATCAGATGAGCCAAATAATCTTGCTGTAAAATAATAGCTTCTTAAGAAAAGTTAATGATTAATTAGTATAATTGATCTCTGGTCAAATATTTTAAAATCAACTAAATCAAATGAGTTGAATATAAGTTATTACATTTATGGTTAAAATGTTCAATTTAATTTAATTTAACCTCAAAGGGCTTATAAAGACACAAAGAAAAGAGAAGTTTTATGTATTTCATCAACTCGTTATTAATATTTATATATTTTTGTTTGCCACTCACACACAAAATAACAAAAGAAATTTCATATTTTCCGCCCATTTTCGTTTGCATTTGGCTACGTTAAAATGGGTTCAGTTGGCAACTTTGTGCCGGGGCATTATCAATTAACAAAAGGCGGTACAGACCACTAGACACCCACTAGTCCTTGTGGTTAACCAACTTTTTGCGGGCACTGTTGACACACGAGAAGGATTCACACAAAAAAAGGGTCCGAAAAACGAGTTCGGTGGCAGGGAGACTGGGATTTTTGTTGGGGCATTAACTTTTTCCCCGCCATTAAAGGGAAAAGTGTGCCAGTTTTTTGCGATCTTCTTGTCTGGCTGGCATTTTACAAAATAATAAAGTGTAGCATAATTTATGGGGCACGGCAGCGAAAGCGGCAAAAGTTCTTCAAGCGCAAAAAACGCTTGTTATTTAATGCCAGGCTGCAAAAAAATGGGGGCGTGTCAGGTTGGCTCCGAAGCAGCTTACAAATAAACAAATAATCAGCCAACACACACATGAGTGTGTGTGTGTTCTAGACAGGATTTCCTGTTCACTCGCATCGGGGGCATAAATTCACTTTTATTGAACTTTAATGTCACTCTAATGCCCGCCCATTTCCATCGCCCTTCGTTAGCCCTCTTTTTGCCCTCTTCATCCTGCTTTTCACTTCCTCTTTTAGCCTGTTATTGATGCACTTCAAGTCAACACGGCGTATACGCAATTTGAGCACTGATTTAGTAGGCACAAGTGTGGAAAGGTTTTAACTTTCAGGCTAAAGTTTAAGTAATAATGCTTTCAATGTTTCTAGAAAAGCTTGTTTCATTCCTTCTACTTATAAAAAGTAATATTTTCATTTTATTTACTACCCATAACCAAAAAGTTCGCCCTGGTTATAAAAATGGCTCTTTGAAATGCAAATTAAAAATATTTATCAAAAGGTTTTCTTAAATAAATAAAATAAAATTAATATTTGGAATTGGCATAATATTAAGGAAATTTTTGATCTAACTAAACTATAAACTATTGTCTTCGTTTGCTTTGAATTATTTCTAGTTCTAGTACTAAACTTAAAAAAAGTCATGTACAGCCTTTTCTTGCGATGAAGCTAATTGGCCATCGCTTATTGAATAATTGAAAATTACCAACAGCTCAGGAGTTAAGTGGGCAAATTCCAGGCCCCAAGTGCGCAGCGATTTAATTACTGAGGACTTGACTTAAGTTCCTGACTCACAGGATTTCCCCAGTGAAGTAATCAGAAATTCTGTTGTTATTTTGGAGAGCCGTAAAGTGAGCGGAGTAATTTACGAGTTTTAAGTCCATTGTTTTGGGGCATAATGAAATCACACTGGCTGATTATTTGGACACGACTCATTGCGAGAGACATAATTTTAATGGCATTGAATTTTATTCTCAATTAAAATTTGCAGTCTCAAAGTTACAGTTCCGTTCGAGCTTAGATATTCGGCATAGGCCCCTGTTTTATGATCCAATTAAAGTCGGCCGAGTGTGTGGGTTTAAGCCCTTGCTGCTTTTGGTTAGGACAATTAAGTGCATAAATGATGGCTTCTAGGATATGCAGGATATGCAGGAATATTTTGAGCCTGCAGTTGTTGCCATGGGAAAACACCCAAAATACAGGCCCTTCGACTATGGCAATTAATTTAAATTTTAATGCACAGCACAGACAGAAAGACATCCTGTTTTGGCACATGAATATCCGGTTACAAAGGACCCTTGGTCCATTGTCCTTTTCTTGGTCCTTCTGCAATCTTCAGACTCTCTGGAATCGGCGGTGTCCAGCCTTCATTATTTCTGTTTTGTTTTCCCTTCTTTTATTTGCATCATTTGCCAGCCTATACAAATACATATTTAATGCCAGACAAAGGGAAAACGGAGTCGGGGCGAAAAACCCGGATAAATCAGAAAAAGGAAGAGGACATTTTCCATGGAAAACTTGGCTAAGGGCAGATTGGATTGAGCAATGTCGTCTTGTTGGTTTAAGTATTTTAAATGTATACCATTTACAATTGTAAAGAATTAATAGAACTATAGGGTTTATTTATTCACGATAACTCAAAGAATTATATTTACACTAGAAAATTTATTATGATTAAAAGCTTAATAAATTACTTAAAAATTATTTATGAAATGTTTTGATAGGTATTTAGTATAGTGTTATTGTTTAGGTATCAAAGTTCTAAATCTTAACACTTTGATTTTCTCTAAGTTTGAAATCACTCATTTGAGCTCAACACTAATTATTTGATTTGCATTTGTAAAATGTCACAGTCGTGCCATTGTGGTCTGTTAATTAATTTTAAGATAAATTCTCAGCAGTAAATGGCTTGTGGACATTTCTCTTAGGTAGTGTCAATCATCAATCAAATTACATTACTAATCCAATCAAATGCATCTTGAATCTTGAGTTCATTTAAATTGAATTGAACAGCCTTTGGGCAGTAAATTAAAACGTCCTTCAGAATCAAAAGATTCAACAAACGAATATATTGTTTAGACAAGCTCAAGTATTTTCAATTAAACTGTTTTGTGGTAAATAATTCCAAGCATCAACTTTATATTTTTTAATCCCCAATTGATCAGCATGCAGGCCTAATATGAACTAAAACTCTAAAACTTAAAGCAACTGCAACATTCTGCCTTGAGTGTTTATATATTTAAATACCTTGGCACTTGAATGGCCATATAATATATGCCATGTATGTATGGTAAATGTACTGTGAAGAAGGGACAGACACTTCTGTTTAACAATGCCATTTTACCCTTTACCATGACAACAATGGCAGCGGCATGAAAATCAACATCAACATCAACATCGTGGGGCATCATTACCATTGACAAACAAATG